TGAGTGTGTGAGTGTGTGAGTGTGTGAGTGTGTGAGTGTGTGAGTGTGTGAGTGTGTGAGTGTGTGTGTGTGTGAGTGTGTGTGTGTGTGTGTGTGTGTGTGTGTGTGTGTGTGTGTGTGTGTGTGTGTGTGTGTGTGTGTGTGTGTGTGTGTGTGTGTGTGTGTGTGTGTGTGTGTGTGTGTGTGTGTGTGTGTGTGTGTGAGAGAGAGAGAGAGAGAGAGAGAGAGAGAGAGAGAGAGAGAGAGAGAGAGAGAGAGAGAGAGAGAGAGAGAGATTGAATGAATGAATTAGATAGACATGAGTATGTGCTTATGTGTGTTAGATACTCTGTAAGTAATATAAACTGTTAAAAGGAACAAACCTATAATAAGATAGGAAAAAGGAAAGGAAAATTTGGATTTTAGTACAAAAGGATAAAATAGGAAAAGGTCAAAGTGAGGAGGAACAAGAAGAAGGGAACATCTTGAGTTGTCATGCTATTGTTTGGACCAAAGGAAATATTTAAAAAGTAATGAAAATTTAACCCTTTTCAGGTGAGCTCCAGAGTGTAGCATTCCTTGCTCCATCAGTAACACCTTGGTACCCTGCTCCAGTCCCTGGAGGTACAGCAATCAACCCTTCCCTTCGTCTCTACACACATGATACTTCAGATATCCTAGACTACACCCAGTATCACTTGAATTTGGGTGATTTAGATATGGCAGTGGAAGAGAATGGTAGTGCTCTTGTCTCGAAGATGCCAGAATGGTCAGTATTTTACCAGGCTAGGGCTTCTTATGGGTTAGAGAAGCTCGATGTAACAAATATGGCTAGCCTGTACAAAGAGCTTTCCAGCAATGATAGCCTGTTTCAACAGTATTATCTGAGAAATTCTGCAGGCTACAACAATGGTGTCTGTGACATTGACTGCAAACGTAATCACTTGTGTGCAATAGGCCACATAAAAATTGAAGATTTAAACGAGTGCATGGGATTCAATGACACCACCACCAGTACTGACACAATTCAATCTACAACCCCACTTTACCCAGAGCCAGTCCAAAGTTTCATCCTTGAAGATGGATCGCCAGTCAGTGCAGACAACTTTGATGAAAATTCAGATGGCACCTCACACCTGGTAATCATTATGGTGGCCCTTGGGATGACTCTCATGGTTGTCCTAGCAGTTACTTTAGCAGCCATGTTGGTGATCATAACACTACAGAGGAAGAGTGTCTTAAGGAGAGAAGGATCTGTCCCAGTATCTGAGCTCAGTTGGGGACTGCGACAACAAGGGTACAAGCCATTTTAGAAATATATGGCAGAATTTTAAAGATGGATTTATACTTGTGATAGATAATGTGATAAGATAAATAACTAAAGAAGCAAGGAGTTTTCTGCAATGATACCCTGTTTCAACAATAGTTTAGGTTGTGAAGTCAGTAGTGATGTAGGTTCTTTTTTTTCAGATTTATGTTTTTTCCATGTCTTAGGTTCATCCAGTTTAGTATACTATTTATTGAAAGGAAGGTTGTATATTATTTTCATTTAATTTTCAAATTTATTACTTGGCAACCAAAAGACCAGTTGGTCAAATGGTACTGAATTACATCACAAGGTTGTTAAAGCACAGCAACCAAAAGACCAGTTGGTCAAATGGTACTGAATTACATCACAAGGTTGTTAAAGACACAAAACAAGTCATGTGCATTCTTATAAGAGGGGTAGACATGAAAGAGATCTTGAATAAGGCTGCTTAATAGCATTTCTATATTCAAGCTCCTTCCTTAGGAAGGGTATTCTCGTTATTTATTATTAGCCAACAAATTGACATTTTGATGGCATTTGGCAGGACTCTGAAGTTAAATTATACACCAGTCTGTTGATTTATTTGGGTATTAGGGTAAGAGAAGTCAATGCATTTTCAGAACTAACTCACTCTTTAATAGCAATGAGGGAGTTTTTTTTTCCATTAGATTTACATACAGAAATTAGTTACTCCCTAGAAAACTGCATACTAACCAGAACAGTTCAGTCAGTATTGTGATATAGAAATGATTTTGAGGCATTGTTATTTTTGTAGTTATTGATTATATGTTTCATATAATTTGTATATTCCTCTTTGGCTTGATTTTTTCCTTGGTTCTGCTTAGTCTTGTTCTAGAAGAGTCTAATGAGTATCTGTTTACAGGATCCAAGTTTGCAAGTTTCTCACTGTTATTTGTAACCGTGGAAATATTAATTTTTTGGACAAATACCAGACTTCCTAGACTGATAAAGGATTTTAGATCTAAAGATATTTCATTTTGACGGAAACTCCATGATTTGCGTAAAATGTTCTGGAAAGATGAGGAATAAGATTAATAGTGAAGTTGGAAATATTGGTCCACTAAATTATTCTCAGTATAAAAGGAAACATATTCAGATATGTTAGAAATGGCAAGTAAATTTTTGGGAGTTTATTTAATATTATACATTTTTATCATCAGTTAAAAAAGTGATATGAAGGTAAAAATTAAAGGAAGCAAAGATTATAGATTTATATATTCATAGGATGGAAAAAAAATCGTGTATATTTTAATGAATTACTTCAGCTCATTTTGTTCTAAGTTCAGTGTCTAACATGGATAATTTGTCCATTTTCTTCAGACATCTGTTGATGTCCAATCTGAATACATACAATGGAAAATGACAGTTGCTCTTTCATCCTTTAGGGGTCACTGCAAAATATTTCAATAGCAGCAAAGGAAATACTTACTAGAATCTCATCAAGGGAATAGTATTATTTGAATGTGTTATCCTATTATTTTCCAGGAGGTGGAGGAGGATAGCATAAGTATAATATAATAACAAAAGTGTTAAATTTGATGTGAAGTTATTCACAGTAAAACATTATTATTATTATCCAATAACAAAATGAATGTAATCAGTGTTCTGTACTAAGGGGAAAGCAGTGGTGCTTAAATGTTTTATGTGAAATTTCTTTATCAATTAAGAGTACACGTCTGAGTGTTCTCTGTTCACTGTGCTAGTCAGTAACAGAATATTTGTAATCTTGATGTATAGGTGTTATTCTCATCACGGAAGACCACTGTAACAGAAACCTATATTTATGGTATCACCACAGTTTTTAGGTGAAGGTGTTTAATGATACTGTCAGGAGTTATATTCTCACTGAAAATGATGAAAAAAAAAAGGTTATGCATATTATTACAGCTACACTACTGCTTCATGGATCATTGGAGAGTATTTTTCTGGGTGCTAGCTGATTAATGTGTTAAGTCCATTTCATTAAGACAACAGTAGATAATGGTTTTATGTGAATTATGCGTGCATTACATGAATACAGGTTTTAGATCACCTCAATCAAAGCACTATAAAAGGAAAAAACTCCTTTGTCCCAGCACTATCAATGTTAGAGTTTTAGTTGTATTGAGCAGTGATATGCAAAACACTTTCATGGGCTACTGTGCAAATAGGACAATTATTCTTGGCTTCTTTTAGCTTAACAGTACAGCACCACTGACCTACCACCCTCCTTCATAAATGTTTCAGTGTATGATGCATAGATTTTTTCAAGGATGTATTTTAGCAGAACTGTTTATTTCTTTAGTACCATTTATTTTCTAACATTAACTGTTATTGCTTCATATAGTAGTTTGTCTATCTGTTGTTATTTATTTATTTTATTAGAGAAGACTAACTACAAAGTGAGGAAAGAGGCTCAATTAAATCAATAGAGAAAAGTAATTTGTAAAATAGTTTGTAAATTTAATTGATTTTATGAACATTGTGCCATTCTAATTAAGATTTTTATAGGATATTAACTTGAGAAATGCAAATGCAGGGTTGTTACGTCTTGAGGAGTTCACTAAGTGAGGGTTAAGTTTACTGACATGGCTTTTGATGACTCAGTTTTGCTTTTATCCACTTGAATTTATTAGCGAACTTAATTTCATAATATTGCCCATTTTGTTGTGTACTAAATTACTTGCTAGATTCCAATATCATATCCAATTTGTTTATATTAGTATCCAATGAGAAGTTTCTAGTTTCTGCTGGCTGCAGGAGGGATCAATTATTTCGTTGCCAAGCCAACATTGAAAGTCACTAGCAGCCTGCAAAAGAGAACTCTTCTTACTCTTCTTCTAAAGGACAGATTATACAGTAAATGACACAGACTAATACAATCAGGATAAAGATTCTACTGGGTATGTGCAATGCTGTTGACAGTATACTGTGACAGACAGGTTGGAAGGCTGAACTCCTCATACAGTGGTATGTAATTTCCAAATTTCTAGGATTGTCTACTTTATGGCACACTCATTCTTGATGAGTATGAAAGGTAGATGAAGACAGGGATTTTTCATAAAAACAAGTTAATAAAGAATTGTTAGTGAACTTATTTTTTAGAAACCTAGATTTTATATGATTTTGTATAATAAGAAGTAAATAGGTGGGGGGGGATAGTTTTTATTTTTATCACAGTATTATCATTGCTGAGTTTTCCTCTTACAGAAAAAAAAACGGAAATATGGTGTCAGTAGAATAATACGAAAGTATTTTTTTACATTTCTGTTCTCAATTATTTTAAAAGAAACACAGGAAATTTAAATTAATCTGCATTATATTGTACATCCATGTTGCAAAGATATATGTAGTTCTCCTTATGCAGATGCAAGAGGGGTATATTATGCAATATATGTATTTTTCCAGAAGTAAAAAGCAGATCATAAGTTTTGCAAAATCATTTACCTTTAATGTGACACAAGAAATACTGGAAAGGCCAAAAAAATATGTATGTTTTCCATCATAATCTTGAAAATATATTTATTTTTGTAATACACATACATGCACATGCACACCTACCCACCAAAATACCCCCACCCTTCCCACACACACATATATACATATATATACATATACATGTTCATCCCCTATATATTTTTTTGTAATATATATTTAAACAATCCTGTTTAGAGTGCAAAGTCATTCACAAAAGGATATTCACACACATGGAAATATCTTGATATAATTATTCTTCAGAGAACTTGTACAAAAAGAAAAGGGAAAAGAAATTCACTCATAGAAAGTTCTCATAACTGCATTAAAACCACACCTGAATCATATCCAAACAAGCATTAAAACTCTTCCCTAAAGTACAAGTCCCAACTGGTAAATTACTCTGGTTATCTAGCTTATTTGAAAAATGCACTTACAATAACAGTTGACAAAAACCCATAAAAAAATTAAATATAGTATTATTAACATACAATATCCTTTGTTCATAAGTCCAAATGTACCAACTATTTTGACATAATCTTTTATGCTTCCAATGAACTCAACTTTTTCAACTATTTTTCCATGTTTTCAGATTTTCACAGCAATTGCAGACATGAGATTGAAGCCTGCTTGCTACAATTAGTCAATTTGGAATTATGCAGCCAATGAACAGCAAAATTTACACATACTTTACTTGTCAAGCTATAAGATGTTACTGGTAACTTATCAAAAAAAAGGAAAAGAAAAGAAAAGAAAACTGAAGTTATCATGAAAGAGCACATCCAACTTTAAATTTTCTTTAAAAGTAGCATGACTGCACCTGTGGACCATCATTTGAAAAAGCCATCTAGAACCTCTTTTTGTTCTCTAAACATGTCTTGATATCTTAACTGCTATCAAAGTGAATAAGGACACTAAAACAATATAGCACAGATAATTATCCCTTGTATTAAAAAATTTTTTTTTCCTAATTCTCTATTGTGGGAATTCACAGCAGTCAAACTTAGTAGAAACAATATAAAATATCATTTTGTACATTTCTTGAAACACTAAAAAGTTTGTTTTTTTTCTTTTTGCCTTAACCCAATACCGACGGGTATGACGTGTACGTACGTGCTATGCCCACCGTGAGTACTTGTTTGATTGTTTTTACACATAGATGGCAACACTTGTACTAACTCCCCAACGAGCCAGTTACGAGTACTGCCCGTCTCACCCGTTTACCCTTTTCTTTGATTTACAAAATATTTTACATTATCTTATTTTGCTGTTACTAATGTTAATAAACATAAAAATTATAATGTTTATAGTAAAAATAACACCATTGATTTTCATAGCACTAGTGAAAAATACGTTTTTTCCCGCCATTTCAAATCAGGCGTTAGCAGAGCATAGAAAAAACATAGAAAATAGGCACAGCATTTTCCCCATTTTTTGTTCATTTTCCCCGGCGGCATTGGGTTAATTGTACATTTCCCATATTTGACCCAGTTACCACGGATTTATGCCATGTTCCCTGTAGTTTCTTGAGAATTTTGCTATATACAGATGCCTCTACATGTGCTCAGCCAGTAAGGAGTCAAGCATTAGACCCTAGTGACTGATCCTAATTTCCCCGTTCCTTGAGTTGGCAGGAAAATGTGTGTTTTAATACTATTGATGTCAACACTGTTATTATTCTTATTATGATGATTAAATTGTTATTAAAATCTTGGTAATATTAAAGACAATGAAATAATACAAAAGACACTTTCAGGTGAGATAGGTAGGACTAATAATTGACTCCTTGGTGAATAAGCACTTGTACAGCCATAAGTATTCTCGCCATCTGTGACGAGTGGGCTAACAGTGTAAATATATGTGTACATATTTGCATTCATAAGCCAAAGGCAGTCAGTGATTTAACATAAAAAACTCAATTGTGATCTTTATATTTCAACTTGTTCCATATAACTCTCAGAATCATGACACAAGTACCTTGAAATACAAAAGCTCACAACACTGTTAATTCTTTTAACTGTTGACAATAGAAGTGAATGCATTCATCCATTGTCATGTAAAGTTTTGTTTTATCTATTAATGAATTTATTTATTTATTTATCTATATACTTATTTATTCATTTGTATGCAATGCAGTACCATTAATAAGTCAATTACTAAGCTAACCCTTACTATCTACCTAATTCCTTAATTATTCAGGCAAGATAGATTTTATTTTTATTACTACTATTATTGTTATCAACATTATTACAATAATTATGATGTTATTAAAGTGGTTAAAGTGGTCAGATCAAGTAAGCCTAGTAATTGACATTTTAGTGACTCAGAATTTGTACAGCCATCACATGTAAAAAAAAAAAAAAAATGAATAGTCAATGTTCCCGGCATGAATGGATTAACATCAAAATCTGCTTTACACAAAATTAAAAATAAAGAAGAAAATGATATAATTCAAAAGCAGGGAACAGAATTAGGGATTAACAGAAGAATGGTAAGTATGAAAAAATAATTAAATTCATGTTAAAATAGCAAGTTGAATACTGAATTGTATAATAAGCATTGAAGTATGAGCTATGTGTGAGCAATGTGTTGGCTGTGTGTACTTTCCAGCTTTCTAAGTTTATATCCAGTAACAACAAGAACAACTTACTGTAATGAACAAAAATGGCCTAATTCCATAAATGCAATAAAGTCAAGGCCTTATGATGTCCAATGCATCAAGGTGCCCCAGGTGATGATACTTCAGCGTAGGTGCTACGGACCAAATCACTCAGTGAGGGAGGCTTGGTGGGAGAGTGTCGGGTGTGTGTGGCACAGGACAGCCCAGGATCAAGGACACTGAGGGCTCCACCTACTAGATGCAGAGACCCAGTCACCAGGATCTGTGGGAATAAGAGCATAATTCGGTGAAAGGGAGAAAAAGGAAAAAGAAAACAAAGAAGAGGAGGAAGGAGATATCTGATGCTACTTATGCCGATGAAAAGGAAAAGAAGGTAAAAACAGGAAAAAAGATCTGTCAACTGGAATGTTAAATAAAAACAGGAGAAAAAACAAATAAACTAAATGCAAGGAAATGAAAAAAAAAACTATTACAAACCTGAACCTGAGAGGCCTCCTCCAGTTTTCTAGGAGGTGGAAAAGCAGGAGGCTGCAGGAGGTCCCCTTGCAGCATTGCTTCACGGCCACAAGACAGCCACTTCAGTGCATCATGGATGCAAGGAAATATTATGCTAGGCACATCCATAGCTGGAAGGTTGCTCAAACTCTCAGTGAAGTCATTGGAAACCTGCTCTTGAAGCAATGGGGCTTCCCTATCTTCAACACAGATGCTTTCTTGAATCGCCTTACGATTTCTCCTTAATCTGATCCATGAGCTCCTTTGCTTCTCACAACGGAGGTGCATCTGATCCTGAGATACAGTATAGTTCGTCTGATCTGAAGTTTGGAAGAAGGAAATATAAGATTTAATAAAATGAATAAATAAATAAATAAAAATACAAATAAAAATATTAAAGAAAAGAACTCATCATTTTGTAAACTTCTGTGGATCTATGTATCTTTTACTAGTTAATTCACTTACTTTTCTGTATATTTTATGCTATATAAAGGTGGACAGTGAGCCAAATGGAAAAAATAAAACAATTAACATCATTAACTCAACAAAAGTTAGAGGGTTACACTAGGTAATGGGTTTCTTAACCCACGGATGCTGGGGATGGATAGTAAATACATGCCATGCCCATCCTGTCTTTAGTTTACCACTTATATTTACACAATGATGGTTCTACAAGTGCTTTTGATTGTCAAAAAAATCCATTATTTCATATTGCTACTATTATTGTTAGTAACTTTATAATATTCATAATATCAATAATCATAATAACATTGATATTAATAGCATTATTAAAAAAGAAAATAAATAAAGGAAAGGGGAAAATACAGTTGACTTTTTGGTGGCTGAGTACTTGGGAGCCATATATGTTGAAACACATTACATATAAAAAAAAATATGCTGGATATTACGTGTTCCCAACAGCAATGGGTTAATGGTTACTTCAATAGGTATAGGTAAGAATAGATTTGGTATGATTTACTCAAAAAGTACATTTTTCTCAAATGCTTAAGGTTAAAAAGTGCTTCAAAATGACAAACAAAATACAGAAGGTAATCAAATAACCTAAAAACATATACAGCATATCATTGAACAAACTTGGGAATCCACAATCTCTGAAGCTTCATTTGATAAATAACTTGTATTGGACAACACGAGGGTGTAAAAATAAAACAGACTCACGCATAACCCTAAGATCAAGTTGTCTTTTAGTGGCTGATAATCCTCGTATAAACATGACTGGAAATTAGTATGTAATATAAATCTCACCAAAATAAGGAAAGCAAGAGAGGAATATGTATAATAAACAGTATATCACTGAAGTTATTTTTTTTATTTACTGATTTGATTTGGTTTTATTTTGAGGAGCACAGGTTACTGATATCAGCTTGTCTTATTCTTTAAATATAGTCACCAAACTTGATAAATACTGCTGCATGATCTAATGTACAGTTTTCTTTTACATTATTATAAGTTTAGCAGAAATTACTTTCATCAAAACTCACTGATACCTATTGACACATACCAAGTGAAAGTGGAAGCAATTGCATTTATCTTTTTTTTTCATTTTGGAGGATTATATAAATAACTATGATTTCTTATTCTTTTCTATTATGCTTTCAGTATGCTTGTTTTTTTCTACTTACTAAAGTGTTACTTTTCCTCCAGTTTTCAATCTGGTAAGAATAGGTACAGGCCACTTCAGATGTTACAATAAAAGGACATCTCACCTGATGATGCACTCATGGATGTTGTGACAAGATTGGTTGTAAACACAGCCAAATCAAAATCACACTCAGAAAGGCACTCCAACAAGGTCTCATGGTTGCGGTCACCAGTGGAATTAAACATAAGGACACGGTACACAGTAGCATTACTGCAAAGAAAAAGTGGTGTCAAAACATTTTCAACAGAGAAAGAAGCACAAAACTGAATATAACAAGTAATGGTGGTCTAGAAAAGAGCAAAAAAGACACAGGCCATCATTTTGTGATGATCAAAATCCTTTACAATAATCACACACAACTTCTGGAACAACTACAGTGTCTGATCACAACATGAAAGTGTGATGAGGCTTACTCATGGGCAGGAGCGTGCAGTGGTGCAGTCTTTGAAAACCAGTCCAC